GATACAAATTAAAACTTGCATTTTCTTATCATTAATTTTGGTATTTTAAAAGGATTTTAACAAGCATTTGTGGAAACAGCTAGACAGGCATAATTGTCTGTACATACCAAATGCAGTTGCCAAGATGGGGACTATAATCACACCAGCTATCCAGGAGGGAGTATATTTAGACACAAGTTCATTTTCATCTGTCAGCAGAGCTTAGATCTCTTGAGAAATGTTATCTTCCATTCAAATTAATATCTAACTATATTAATTTTCATGACAGATCAAAACATAACTAAGCTAATTTTTAGAACTTAGAAATCATTTCAGAAGGTTTCTACAGAAATATTCTATCTCAACAATTTCAAAATTATACTTTCAGATTTAGGTGGTTTTCATGCACACTAGCTTAAAGACAACTGTCATTTTAATCTAAAATCTTAAAACTTCCATATTTTAAAGCACTGATAAACTAGAAGAGAAAAAGAAACCAAGCAAACACCAAAACCAGACTGACCTTTTTGTTAAGCTTCAGAAAAATACAAGACTATTGAAATCTACGTTTTTCCATTAATTCATGCAGGTATGGAAAATGGTATCTTCCAGTGACAAACTTTCTGGCCAAAGGAAGGAGGAAAAAACCCAAACATCAAAATGTTCAACATTAAAATCTCCACACAGAATTATTGTTTATCATTTGGAATCAACATTTTGGATGGCCCACTGGAAACTAAGCTAAGACCCTATTTTATAAAAACCCTAAAGCAAGCATTGTAAGAGAAAGTGGAGTTTCAACTTGTGTGAACACAGAAAAAAAAGATTTTGCAGTCTCTACTCCCATCACGGCTTCCAGTCACAAAAGACACATTTTAGAAGTTCAGGAAGCATATAGTACTTCTGCATAGATCTGTTGTTTTCATCCTTTTGATCTCTTTGTTTCTCAGTGTTAATTTTTAATTTGAATGACAGCAACTCAAAGCAACCTCAAAGTTAGCGGAACCCAGTCAAGGAAGTTATTAAAAACATAAAAAATTGAAAGAAGCCTTGTTTGAGGTAAATGCAACTGTGTGTTTAAGGAGTCTATTTACATAAAAATTGAGAGGCTTTACGGGGGGAAAAAAAAAAAATCATTTGTTAACTCCAGGCCTTGGAGGGAGGGGTCTTGGTTTTGCTTTTAAGAATCCGACTGCATCTCCCATGAATTTTTAAGGGTGGCAATACCAAACAAGACCAAGAGATGGCAGCATTGGGTTATCACCGCTCAGCCTCCCTTCTCGGTACTGGGCCAGGTTCGTTCATTGTTTCATTGGTGCTAAAACTCCAACCTCAAAAACGTTCTGATTAAGCATTCCCTGAACAGCTGTCGATTTGCAGATCTTGTTTATGTGTGGTACAAATGTGGACTGGTAAAAAAAGGAAGTATTAGAAAAGAGGGAGTAACTACTCTTCTTACTGGAACACAAGCCAGCTCTAAAAGACTAGAACTGCCAGGCACACAACTATTACGTTTACAATAAAGATTAGTAATTGCCTTACTGTAGGCCTCTGGTGTTCCAGTCAGAATTCCATCTAATTGTAGACTTGCTGCAAAAGCATAAATTAAAGGGCAGTCCCTGCAAAAGAAATTTACAGTGTAGATTAGTACACACAAAATGAAAACTCACTGAAATCACTGAAAATGAGAGCAGAAGGATTGCAAAGATAATACAGAAAAATTATTCTACACACTCTCATACGTATGACTTATATCAACATGAACCTATACAGTAAAAATAGTTTTAAAAAATTTGTATTTTATAGAAAAAGAAGTATCTCTAGCAATCTCTTCAGTATGTCCAGCATATTTTAAAATCTAGCCATACAAGTCCGATTCAGATCCAGAAAAATGACTGCACAATGCAAGCTAGTCGTTTTGATTTCAGTAGGACTTCAGTCCACCTTTAAATGTAAACTTTTGGTTCACCTGTACCTTGGAAGATGATCTGAGGTTCAATCTGAAAGACACACAATAGTCAAGCACTTAAAACGCAAGAGGTAGACTAGAAGAAAATCAAGCACATTTTCACATAAACACATGGTTAGAGTTTCTGAGGTCACTGAGATCCGCTATCAAACATTATTGTGAAGACCATTTTGCAGTACATAGTGTATTCATCACCAGTGTTAGAAACTTAGAGAAAGAAACAGTTTTGAGAGACTTAGAGTCATCCAGCCAATGCTGTGGCCACACAAACTAGGTATATTGTCTTTGACCCCATCACTTAAGTGCAACACAGGCACCCAGCCAGAGAGGCTGGAAAGTCCCTTGGGACATGCCATTTGTGCCCATGATCCATGGACAGGCACTAGAAAGGGGAACCAGTGGTTCCACTGCAGGGGAAGCTGAGGCACATACCCCCATGAGGCTAGAGGCAGAGATCAGGGGACCAGGAGCTTGGGCTGTGGGGTAGAAAGGGATGCTCTTCTTCTGCACCTCTCAGGTTGAGACTTCATGAGACAACTCAGTCAGTCTAAGGGCTTCCTGCCTTCTAAGGGGAGGTCCACTGCCTCCCTCCCACACACACCCTGCACCTACCAATACTCTCCACCCCTACAACACCCACCTGAACCGTTAGTCAACAGTGCAACTAGTTTGGGAGCAGAAAGGAAACCAAGCAGTACAGCAACAATGGTTTCCTGCTGTTTCAGCAAGAGTCCAGCTCACTAAAAGTCACCCAAGAGCCAAGAGTACAGAAGTACACATGGGAGCAGTTGAAAGGCAAGCATGACTGACCCTCTCAATAGCCACAAGTTATTTGATCAGCTCCAACTATCGTGTCAACATGACTCAAATTAATATCTGAGGATTTTAAGCAAGGTGCTTTCAAGTAGCATCAATCACAGCTCTATCCTAGTGTTGGCCACAAAAATCGGATTTGTTACTCAGTATGCAACAAGCCAATAATTACACACTCAAGAGAGACAATGATTATTTATTTCAGAGTCACACAAGCCTGGCTGCTTGGTGGTATTCCACAAATCAAGCACACCAACTATCAAAACTTTTTACTATTTATACATTTTGCCAAACAAAGGAATTAATGTTCATTTGCTACAAGTTACCTAGTTCTCTTATTAATTAGTATTCCATCTTCTATTGGTTAATGATTCTCTCGCTTCTCATGCTAATTATTCCACATGCTCAGTCTTTCTGTTCAAGTCGGTGCAAAGAAAGTTAAAAGCTGAAGGTTCATATTTTACATCACATTCCATAGGAGAAACATGTCATCAGCAGACAAATTGAACAAAAAATTCTACAGTTACAATAGAATAAGTAAGTTTTGCGTATGTCACTGTCATTTTGCAAACAGACTCCTAATCGTTTATTAGAAAATTAGGTTTATTGTTTTTCAAAATTACTTGCTCAAAAAACCCCAAGAGTTCCTGCTTAAATGATGGGGCTAAGAAATGTCTTTCCAAAGTTTGCAAAATTTACTAACCCTGCATTTACCAAACTGCTGTGTTTGGAATTACAAGCTAATTAGAGGGAATTTTTTTTAGATATCACATGCAGTAATCTCCAGCAAAGAGATTGTTGGGTTCATGCAGTGTTTCTTGAAATTCTGAAATCCTAATCACTCATGATGTGTGACTGTATTTCTCTGCATAAGACACAAGCATTGTTAATAACAAAACAACCAGTGCAGGGTTCATTTCAGACTACTATGACATCATCCTAATTCCAAGCATTCTGCACATTTTATAATGGTACTCTCAACGCCTCAGAATATCTCAAGATATTCTCAAGAACTGTCTCAAGAATGCATGCTATAGAGACCTGATTTTTCCTGATCAAAGGCATTAAAGCTGTTTTAACACAAAAAACTGATAACCCATAACCCACGCCACATTGGATTGACTGAAGAACAAAAAAGGGACCATTGACTGTCTCTTCTTCTGTATTTCTGTTCTCCTGGAAGTACACCACGAAGTCTTTAAATGATGAAGAGACTTTTGGCAGTGTAGAATGGCCACATAACCACAATGCCAAAGGCCGTTTTCTCTAAGAGAGACTATTTTAATTGCCTGAACTATTTTGCAGAAAAGCCCAAATGTTTGTGGACCTTGGTCAGATGACAAAAAACTTTCCTTTTTTTTTAAGAGAGACAGAACAGGTTTCTTTACAGGTTTTTTGATAAAATAGTTTGAATAATCAGCAGTTGTTCTAAAAATATCTGGGTTTATTCACACAGCAATAAAAAGATAATAACTTTTACATAAATAGTCTCTCACACAGAAACTGTGGAGGTGCACTCTACTATAATGCTGGCAAAAACACAGATTTTCTCCTTCTACAACATAAAAATATAAGTCGTGCAGAGTGTTACTGATGAATAAAAAAACATTAAAAAGATTTTCCACTTTTCACTTTCTGAAGACTCTTCAATGGTTTTATAAAACTTGAAATTGAAATGAACACTGTTGTTCTTGAAACAGATATGAAAGCAAAATAACATGGCACACAAAATTAAGTACTTTTTCAAAAATTTAATAAAATAAAATCTTAATTAAAAAGAAAAAAAGTCTTCCCTCTACTCCTGGTAAAATAAATGACTTCTTTAAATTTTATTTTTTACTAAAGAGGTAAATATTATGCCCCTTAAGGTTAGTGTCCTGTTAATATTTTAGTAATGCTTTAAAATAATGAGGTAATCCCACTTCAACATCTTCACTATTTAAACATTAGAAAATGCCAGACCTTTGCTCACATGTACATGTAACCCTATCCTTCAAAGAGGGGCATTATTATTGCTATTCAAACTTCAAATATTTCTTAGTCACATGGTCATTAAAATATAATATGCTGTTTTTAATATTATTTTTAAAAGCCCACTACATACTAACAAGTAATTTCTTTAATTTATGTTGCAACTTTTTCTTTCTTCACTCTTTTTTATTAAGATCCTTTCTTTGCCTATGAGAATACATTTTGCAGCTATGAAAGATCTTTTTCACAGTAGCTGAGATGTACTTACGTGGTGTGAATTTTTTTTCTTCGTGAAGTGTCCGTTGGTCTCACAGAAAAGCAGATACAGATATACTGAAAGCTGGAAGTTGAACATAGCTTAAATTAATATGAAACAGTGCAAAAGATTGTCTATCAGATAAATTATTGATAGAAACAATGTTTCTAGACACATTCATTTAAACCTTTAATTCAAGACTGAATATTATTTTGAAACTCTGAGCAGAAACTATCAAGTTTGATTTAAAAAATGGCGGTTCTACAGTCTCCTGAAGCAGGAGGTCAGAGATGTGTTGCTTTCACACCTAACTTTGAAACATATCATGATAAACATAATTCTCAAGATTACATATTTTATTTTTTTAATTTAGTCATTTCAAAGCACTTATGTAGAGAGTTGCATATTTTTCCTTACATTGGTTGTTCCACTGCTCTGCTTTAGTAGTGCTGTCTTGTAAACAGAGAAATACACATCGTTAGGCAATCTCATTCAAAAGCTTATGCCTGCTTCAGAACATTCCAGTTCCACTTACATAGACAGGAAAAAATATACCCAAAATTATCAACATCCTGCACAGTATCCCTTCTTCACTTGTAATATAGGAAAGGAGGTCATTAATTGTGAAGCTAACATAAATTCCCAGGAGCACACAGGCCCTCACCTTTTCACAAAGGCAAACAAGGTTTCAGCCTCCCAAGTTGTCTGGCAATTATTTCTGGAATTATTCAAATTAGCAGTGTTTAAACTCAAGTATTTTCCAAAGGGCACAATTCATCTCAGGTGACCTGGGCCAACCAAAACTGCATTAGCAGGAGAGGACAGAGTCTGAAAAACACACTTGTTGTGATGCTTTCAAAGAGGATGGTGAGGACATGGGAAATACGTAGTGTCTCAGCAATTTGTGCTATAAATAACAGCCAGCTATCCCCCAAGCAATTATATTACAGCTGCTGGCCATGAGAAGAGAACTTTATATTGTTAAATAAAGCTTTTTAAACTACAAAGACATATTCTCCAGTCCAATATGTTGTTATGCTACCTCTTGCTAGGTTTTTTTCCTATTCCCACTTTTCTACCGCCTCTTAATTGTTAGTGCAATCAATGGTTGTTAGTCCAATCCTGGTCACAGATCTCTCAAGAACTCGCTACTTTCTCCATCTAAGTCTTTTCATTTTCACGATATCAAAATCAGGATGTGAAATTCTTTAACTTATCTGTCAAAGGTTTACTTGTTCTAAAAAACCAAGCAGGGAATTTTTCTGTAAAAGAAAGATGTTGAATGTGGGAGGGTGGTTTGCCTTGGGTGATTGATCTACACAAAAGAAGTAATTAGCAGGCCTGCATTCCAAGATTGAGGGGAGGGGTGATGAGTTGTTTTTTCTTCTCTCCTCTGAAGCAGGGTGTGGCAGTTTGAGCCACATTAGAAATCCAAAATCCAATTTCCAGGCTCCCCACCCCTTCCCACAATTTATCCCAACACCGGAGAGAAACTTTCAGGCCAGAGGCTTCTATAGGGGAAGGGGAAGTATATACATTTATTTTACACAAATAAATACTATACAAACTAAAGGTAACTATATATATATATATATATATTTACATTTCCGCCAGTCCTTTTAAGTCCCTCCCTTTAACTTTAGTCCAGGAAGAGCTTTTCAAGGCTGCTGGGTAACCAGTCTCTCTCTCGTGAGAGTGTTCTGGGCCCCTGAAACACTCCCTAACCAACCTTCAGCTGTTTACTGCAGTTTTTCCTCCTCACAAAGTCCAAGAAGATAGCTTTAAGTCCTTTCTCCTCCATCCTGAGTCATTTCTGCTATGTGATCTCTCCCTCTCGGTCTCATACCTCAGTTCGTAGGCTGCTGCAATGCAGTTCAGCTTATCAAGCGTCCTCCGAGTCAGTTTTTGGCTGCCCCTGGTCAGCTTCGGTAGGGCAATTCCCGAGCCTCTCTTGACCCGTCTCCAATTTCACCTGGGATTCTTCTCCCGAGCGCCGAGCCTACCTCCTCCGGCCCGTCTCTTGGCTCAGCTTCTTCCTCAGCCCATCTCTTCCCTCAGTGGAGGGAAAGAAAAAGTCCCCCTCCACAGCTTAACTGCAGAAAAGGAGGGGGAAGAGGGCTTGGCTGCAAAGCCTGCCTCTCTCCTCTTACTTCAGGTGCTGTGAATTTCTCCCTTCACAGCACACACTCTAAACGCTGCCTCCAACTCCGGCCCAGGCAGAGCTGGGGGGGCCACAGGGCTCCCCTCTCCCCCCCAGAGTGGGGGGAAGAGGGAGCCCAGCCACCCCCTGGCCTCCTACACCTACACGCATCAGACACCAACAGCACAACACTGCCAATAGCTTCCAGTGCTGTGATATATGATTTTGAGCAGAAGCAAACAACATGGATGGTGATTGGAACACTGCCCTGGCACCCAATCACCTCTGAACCTCCTTGAACTCTCAAGGGGGGGGCCAATTTCAACCCATGACACAGGGGCACTTAATTTTTGCCTTAACTCAGGCAAGGTGTGTGTTGGAAAGGCTCCTAGGTCGTTTTGCCCTCAGCCTAGTCCTCTGGCTGTTTTCTGGCCCTGGCTTGCCTGTGCCCTGTTCTGTCCCCAGCCCAGATCTGCTTGGATTTCATTGGAAAGGCTTGACCCATCTGCTGACGAACTTTTTTGGGGAGGAGGTCACCCTTTCCCTCCTCCGCGCCTGTGTTTGGCAGCAGTTTGTGCCCATCAACAAAAGGGGGGAAATCCCGGCCACAGCCAGCCACAGACAGCGTGAGTTTTTGTGGGAAGAACCCCTTTTTCGCCTTTTTGCCTTCCCCTTCTTGGTGTGTGGGGGAAATCTCCATTGGCAGTTTCTCCTGCACACCAGGGCCCCACGCGGCGACCACCAGAGCCCAACAGCGCTTCCTGCTGACCATGGTTAGAATTGCACCAAAAAGTAGAAAGTACCAAACTGTTTCCTTTTGAAGGGAATTTTTGGGTACAGGATTATCATTTGGTTGGGTTTTGTGTTCTTTTGTTGTTCTGCCAATACACATATATCCTTTAATAAAGGGCTGATATTTTTTCTTTCTCCATACTTCCTCAATTGGAGCTTCTTAATTTTGGATTTACAAGTGCTTAGAGGGAGGAGTTTGGTCTTCCTCCTAACTCATCCTCCTTAGCAAAACACTTCAGTCTCATTAAACTGAGACATCATTGCTCCCAAGAGAGACAATACTGTCTTCAAAATTATAGAATATTTTCAAACTCCCATCCTTTTCAGTAAAGTCTTTTATTCTTTAGCTTTAGGGAGGGAGCCCATTCTCATACCAAACATTAAATTCACACACAAAAATATTGGCTTCCTATTGGCTGCTCTAGACAGAACTATGACTGTTCTCCTGTCCTGAGGATTATGAAGTTTTATGTTCTATTTTTTTCAACTCCGGCCTGCTTCTTTTCCCTTTTCCATCTTGCTATCCTATTGTTCTTTTCCACTTTCTCTTTAACTTACAGCTGAACTCAGGAGCTGAGAAGCACTCCCAGGTTCCCACAGTCAAGAAGAGCTAAAAAGATGCTTTGAAGGCAAGGAGCTATTCAAAAAAATCTCACAGCAATCTCTAATCCCAGCTTTTGCTCTTCACAAGAATAAAAACTCACGACGAAGAAGTAAGTGAATAAAGGCACTGTCATGGAAAGCAGCCTAACAAACAGCGCTCAGTGTATGGGGCTCCTACTGATCTTCACAGAAGGCAGCATAAGGGATCCCTGCACAAAGCAAACTCTTCTGCTCACAGTTGCCTGAATTCAAGTAGAAAAGTGATAAAAATAAATACATGATTCATCAAATAAAATCACAGAGAATCCTCTCTTTCCGAAGTGCAAGGTGCACTCAGTAGTCTTCTATACCAACTGCAGATATGTAGATCTTCTCACATATAGATGTTGGAGGTATCTGACACGCAGATGTAAACAGAAGGCAAGTGCAATTTTATCTGGAAGAAATGTCCCTTTCACAAGCAGCCAACAGTAGCAATCCGAAAACTCAGGTATCAGCAGAAAAGGAACTGCTAGGATTATGTAGCAGGCCATGGACAACAGGGGCTGAGGGAAATTCCAACATCTAAGGACCAGACAAGACCCACTGATATTCAATCATGTGGATTGTCCTATCTCCTGCAGCAGGATACGGAAAGACTGCGATGATGCTATCAGTCCATGCAGAAACCCCTTTGTTTTCTCCCCTCCCTAGTAATCCTGGTTACTGGAAATATCAATCCTCTTCCCCCCACATGTAATCCTGGTTACAGGAAATGTTAACCATTTTTTTCCCCATATGTAATCCTTGTTACTGGAAATACTAATCAATTGGGTAGTCCCCTAGTTGGCATAACCCGGCTTCCTCATTAGCATGTTCTGCCCCCGAGACCCTTAGATAGCATTTCGCGTGTTCAATAAAGATTCCAGTTTCTACCTCCAAAATTGGGATTGTATAGTTTTTGGACCTTTACAGCCAACTCCCAACAACTTCAGTACTCCCTGCAAGAAACTTTCAGGTGGACTCAGGCAACAATAAATAATTAAGAAATACTACTGCTACTACAGTAGTACAATACTACTACAAGACACTGCAAAGTTACATGCAATCTTTCAAAGCAAGTTTCATGTAGAACTTGTAGTGTACAAGTTTACATTCATTATGAATAGTACAGTAATTAAAAAAAAATCAAGTTGGAGTCCACTGAAAAGGCAATGTCATCCTACAGTGATTCAACTCACCGTTTCTTCTTTTTTTGACCACGCAGTCAGTGTGTCACCTTCATTGGTCACAAGTAACAAAGAAAATTATCAACATTTCCTGTTTTGGTAGTTGATGTCCACCACAGACAAGACAAACACCAAAACCATAAAGCAGAAGATGAGTGGTTCCTGCATTGAGCAACATAAATCAATCTCGTGGGCAAATGATTTAAAGTCTTGCACATAAGAGCATCAATAAAGTGCCCTTAAGGTGCTCCTGTTACTCTCAGATGGAAGATGTTAGCAACTTGATGTTGCAAGCCTGAGTGCAGACTCTGTTGCATGCCTTCCGACCTCCCCCTGCTCACGATGATGCTTGGAGAGAGATAAACAGCACAGTTTGTGCTCTTGTGGTTACCAAAGCAATAAATCAGGGCAGGGTCAGTAAAGCAGACAACAACTGAGACAAAGACATTCTATCATCTAACAGACAAGCCTTACTGGATACACAGCATACAACTATACAAAATGGAGCAATAACCATAGTTCTCTTAACAAGATCTCACAAATCCTAGCTATCAGATATCCCAGCAGCCTTGGGGAGCCAGAAACGATATAATGCAGAGATCCATGAAAATGCAGCTCCTTTATATTCCATTTTCATGGGTCCTTTCTTCTTGTCATTCTTTTTTTTTTCCCAGTTCTTTTGCATCTTCTAATTCCATCCCCTACTTCAGCACTTGTTTTTCCTGCCTCTTTTCTAAATCCTTAAAAAGATTCTCCTCTCACTTTCTTTATCACCTTCCATTCTGCTTACAGGCTTTGAAATCACACAACAGCAGCTATTCTTTCTGGTTTACTTTGCTGGTCCAGTTCTGGATTACTTAAGCCAGCTATCACACACACCAACTACAGGCTGCTCTGCCTACATTAGAATGGCATGTGTAATGATTCTCTGTCTTGATTAACCTAGTATTAGACTTTAGGATACTGCCATCTCCCTAGCTGTCATTCCAGAACATCAACCTTATTTCTGTAACCATGTCTGAAATTAACATGAAAGAAATGTAATGAAATATGAAAAGTCAACACATAGATTGTATTTATCCAACTCATACAAAGCCAATTTCCTTGAAAAACAAGTGAAACAATAAACTCTGATTTAAACAACTCAAACAACTCAAGCTCACAGGAGTTTGACTGTGAATGTAAAACAACATGCAAGCAAAAAGGTTATAATACTTTCATCAAGCTCACGAAAAGGGAGTGATATGCAATATGTCAATTTTAGCAAAGGAAAGCACAATGACTTTCGAAGATCTTATTTTGTTTTTAATAAAAAATTCCCATTCTCTCCAGATTTAGTAATTGTTGTGCTCTTTTTCTGAAAAAGTCAAGCTATGCTGTAGAAAAGTATAGGACCAACATTACTACTCTTATGTAAGCAGCTCTATGAGAGCATGCCAGGAAACTTTCTTGCACTGCCAGCAACCAGCAAGTGTATTCAGCTCTCAGCTCTCAGAGATCTCAGCATCCTTTGTCAGAGATCTGCAGGCTTCATCACTTGCCAAGAAAAAATTTCAAACTCAATTTTTCCAATTCCTTACTTCCTGTTCATTCACTTTCTCATCTCTCCTGCATCTCAACTCTCACCCCTTTCAACTCCCAGCTCTTTACAGATTATTTTGCACCACGTGATCAATCTATTCTGCTTCCAAGCCTCCTGAATACAACTGAACACTTCCTCAAGAAAGCTTATCAGAAGAAATTCAGTAAATTAGATGTGTTTTTTCAATACTCACTCCTACATTTTTAAACCACATTTTTGTGACAAAATTAGATTTGTGAATAAAATTTTATGTTTCTTTCACTTGAAATATAGTGCTGAAAAAATGGTTTTGCAGCATTACATCTGCTTCTGTGTATATTTTTCAACTGACATTTCACTGACCATCTTGAGGATTTTAACATATTTCAAGACATTTGAGAAGGACACTATCACTAATCTAAAATGAGATGATATAGAAAGCACCCATGCCAACTTCTGGCTATCCTCTGTACCTAGGTTTCCAGGAGTATTATCAGACTTTCATGTAGGAACTCAAACACCTGCTCTACTTTAAATTCTGTGCTAGTTTCTGTAATCACGGCAGATGCTAAGGAATTATCAAACCAAGATGAAATAAAGCATAGGGATAAAGAACAGAGGCAAATTCACATATCTGTAGGAACCAAATTTTGACATACATTTACACATGAATTTTGAACTTGCAGTCTTTCCTATTTAAGTACCGTTTTCAATTCTATTATTTTTAATGTGCTAATACGTTCCATAGTTTCTTGCTCAAT